TATATATATATATATATATAATTTATTAAATATTTATAAATAGTAATTAACAGTGTACGTACCCAGTTATTATTATTATAATATCAACACGAGATCATCGTAAAAACTTATAAACTTTAAATCTTGGATCCAGTTCGTTTAGTTTGACTCTTTGTATAAACCTACATCTGTCACTGCAGGTAGAAGGAATCAAAGGTGGGAGAGGGAGTTGTTATAATTTATAGCGGTACATACATAGAAAGTTGTCATGCATTTCCCTCTCTTTATTCCATTTTATTTCACAACAGTACATTATAGAGCAATACTTTTGTTTTTCTGTTATATAATTATTGGTAAGTTTTTTATGCTAGGTATTAGCTAGTAGTTCTCCTAGCAATGAACAGAATATATATTTATATTTGTGGCCCTTGACACTTGACAGATGATATTTAAATCGTGATATTATAATTTGAATTGTGATCTCTTAATTATTTAATTGTTCTCTCTGAGATATTTCTATTCTGATGGTCTTTAATCATTTCGCCTGATCTAATCAAATTAAATTAATTAAATCATTGTTTATAATCACGTTGGTTTCCATACCATAAATCCACTCATCGATAATTAATTTACTGTAAACATACTTATTTTAAATAATAGTACTATTCTAATATTGCTAATTCTTTATGCTTCAACAAAAAAGACATAGGATCTTTTATATACTGTTTCGGAAATAATATGGTGTTTCTACTACTAGGAAAGATGTCCATATCAGTGTAGAAAGCATTTATTCTTTTATTTCGTCTTTATTTAGTTGAACTTTTTCCCTGTCTCTTTTCCACATCCCATCGTAACATACTTAATATTCTTATTTCCTTTTTCTAAAATAAAGAACTTTTTCCCTATCAGCTCTTTTCCACATTCCATCGTAACATACTTAATATTCTTATTTCCTTTTTCTTTTCATACCCCTTGTCCCTTTTGAGTTTGGTAGATGTTCGCTATACGATCTTTGAGTGTCCGGGAAGCCAAAGTTGGGATACTACGAAGTTAAATAATTCATACTATCATAATATATTGTTTTCACATTATCCTCCCCAGACCCCACTTAATAGGACTTTACTGGCTCGTCGTTGTTGTTGTTGTTATCGTAATATATTGTTTGCTACAACAAACATAAAAAATGGTACTTGATTAAATAATGAGTCCCCATTCATAAATCATACTCCTTAAAAGTTTAAAGCAAGAAGCCCAACTTAAAGTCTTTCAGTTTCTTCAGAAAAATAGAAAATAAATCCAAATTTGGATGCTTGCTAGTGTCAACTACAATCTCTTCATCTTTGGGATGTGTCCTTATAAAAAAAATTCAATATAATGGTGTAAGGACTGGAATTTCTTATAACGGTGGTGCCGGACCAACTTGCATGCACCTCGATTATTTCAACGGGTACCTGCTATCTTATACAATCACAAATATTAGGATATAACTATGTCGATCAAGGCTTAGGTAGATGGAAAGGTCCTAATTTAATTGTTTATAAGAGCTCCTGATCTACGTCTCCTTTACCAATACCACCTCCGGAAAAAGTTAGAAAAGAGAAAAAATAACGTGGGCTTTTAACTCTCCAATTTCTGAACTCCTCCCTTAGGAAACACAGGAAGTAGGAACGAGCTATTGTTAACTGGTATTCCAAAAGTATGTAGAGACAGTTAGCGGTAAAGCGACATCATCAGTCTCAAGTGCGAGGAACTTCAGCGTGAGCACTTCGACTAAACACAAAAAGAACCATTACAACAGATTTAATCTGTAGCCATTGATTATTGACTGTGCATTTGAAGAAACTCAGTCTATATTTCCAGTAGACCAAGCCAAGTCTAGTGTATAAAATATTAATGCAAAAAATATTCAACTTCACAGCTGCCACAGCAGCAACAATAAGAACAATAATCCAGTAAAGGCAAAGAAAGAACACAGATCTTTGAGTCATATCGTCTTAAACCAAATTTATTCCGGCAAAAATTGCAAGAGACTTAGTGATGACCCTCATCATCGCTGCCATGTCCATCAGGAGGTCCTCCAGGTCCAACCACTTCCAACTGCAATAGAAGAAACCACTCAGTATGATAATAAGTAATTCATTTAAGCCATCAAATTCTGCATGGAACAATTCAAAATTGGACTTGCACAATTCATGCACGCTGAAATGCCCTAACATCTGAATTAAGCAATCAATTTGCTTTGCTATAGCCAACGTAGGGGGAAAATAGTCTCTTTATTTGCTGAAGAAATGTGAATTTACACCTGGTTAATATGCTAATGCACTTTTTTGACATATACAACAGCAAGGACAACTTCACATCTACAAACTTCACTAACAGCCTCCGAATTAACCTAAATTTAGATAAGCTGGGAGTTCACGTCTAGCTATTCTTCAACAGCCTACAAATTAACCTAGATTTAATCAATAATATATCATACAACTAACTCTGAATTAAAGGATATTCTGTACTTACTTCAAAATACTGTGAGCATACTGGGCATTCATGTGGCTTGCTCTTCTCAAGCCAGAACCAAACAACATCATGCTCATCTTCTGTAAAATCAGACAAAGAAAACACGGGTGGACATTAATAGAAACCAACTTAAGAGACTGAAGTCAACTGGCTTAGAGCAATGAATGTTTGATGGAAACACTATCAACTAATAAATAAATAATGGAGACTTATAAATAGATAATGGAGACTTGCCTCCTTCACCTCCCGGGCATCCTACAATTCTTCTGTCATAGTAGGATTTGACAACAGCTGGCGCTTCCTATAATACAAAACATAGATGATTTGATCAGACTCGTATGCATCAAACTTGAAATAGAACTGATAACAAATAAGCAATCACAAACTAGATTTATTTAAGAAGTTGTAACTAGAAATTCATCATTAGGAGATAAACGATAATAAAATTGGTGTGCACCAAAGGTTAAAAAGAAACACAGAATTGAAGAGAAGATTACTGATCACACGGAAAAAAAAATAATTCGGCTAGTGGAGACTTAATAATTTGTAACTAAACCACCGAAACAAGATACAATACTAAGATTAAATTAAGTTGCACATTCCCCGTACTTGCATACACATAAGTACAACTCTTTTCACTGGTGAAGGATTACAAGATATGGCAATTAGGATCTCAAGACGCAGCAACACCTATAATGCAAGGAATAACAGACAAATTTCAAAGAGAAAAGAAGAGGTCAATACTAATCAACTGCATCGATGAGCGTTTACCAAAGAGACCATATGTTATATAAATGTACAAGTTAATAACAGAAACAGAAAAGACTTCTTTTTTAACAGCATTCAAAGAGCATCAAAATACAAGCTAGGACCTGAACTACATCAATATTTGAAAGGAAATGGCCTCCATCATATAAGTGATAAGACCATCCTTTTTTTGATGAAGTAATGAGTTTTATAGAGAAAGGCATCAAGAAGATGCAAGAAGTACAAAAGTGAGGGAAAGAGTCAGCTAAAGAATAGGCCTAGTTACTCTGGATATCTTAGTATGGAAATTCTGAGTTGTTAGGGCCTATTCCCCTTTTTTTTCATTCTCAAAAAAAGAATAGGCCCTAACAACTCAGAATTTATACTAAGATATGGAGAGTAACTAGGCATGGTAAACTTTTTAAACAGGACGAAACTACAACCTCAGACATATTTACTCATATCATATTCACAATGCATTTTCATAGAGTAAACCAAAAGCTTGAATTATGAAGAAACATTCTAGAAAGCATGGGGTTGTTTGGTTCAGACGCTACTTATAAGGGAATTATATAACCAGATTGTTTATGTGGTAAACGATAATGAAGGGAATGTTATATGATGAATAATAATGTAGAGATTAGTATGTGCTGACTGCTGAATAATAATATAGAGAATGTTATGTAGGGATTACCTACTTTAGCGGCATTATTGTCTTACAATTCTTTTATCTTTGTATTACTAATACATGTATTCTTATTCCATTTTTTATCCTGCATAAAATAATACATAAAGTCCCGTATAACTCAGTGTAGGTATTATTTAATACGGCCAACCAATACTGCCAACCCAAAGTAGCATAAAGTTATAGAGGATTATTTTATCTTATGTAGCCAACCAAATGCCACATTAGTTATGCGGAGACAATTTTTTTCTTCTTTTAACCAGGTAAGGTAACTTTTATTAAGAAACTTCAAGAAAGTACCAAAAAGTACAAGCAAAGCGTCATAGGATAGCAATTACAAATAAAGCTTCTACAATTACATAAAATCTAATAACTGCACCAAGTCTTCTACTACCCTTTCCTTACACCAAAAATATAGATCCTGCAACAACTATTTCTTAGCCTAGGAATCTCGGTCCTCTTATCTTCAAAGCATCTTTTGTTCCTTTTCAGCCAACCAAATATTGTACTCCCTCCAGTCCACAATAAGTGACTTGTTTGCTTTTTTATTTTGATCCAAAATAAGTGTCCATTTATATAATCAAGAAAATATTCAATTTGTTTTTCCAAAATTACCCTTATGTACGTATCCCTAAAAAATCTTTTACTCCTCACATTAAATTATGCTACAATATTTAATTAAGGGTAGTTTAGTCGCACTAACTATTTTTGTCTAGAATTTAGTATTTCTTTAATGTGCGTGCCTAAAGCAAATTGGTCACTTATTGTGGACCGGAGGGAGTATTATTTTATGCGGGAATTTGTGTTGAGATTATTTTCTTAATCCTCCAATTAAACGACCCTAGATGTTTTAGGACAAGTAGAAATAAGAACGGTAGGTTCACCCACATAAAATAATGAGATTGAGATAAAGATTAAACAAGACCATGGTGCCCAGCACAGACAATTGAGATATCTAGCCTCAGTATCCATGAGAATGCTATGATACATATAAAATTAAAGTAGGATCCCTCAAAATGATAAGTGCTACAAAAGTACTATAAATATAAGCCTACCAGAAATCTAGACAAAATAGTTAGTGTGACTAAACTACCCTTAATTAAATGTTGTAGCATAATTTAATGTGAGAAGGTAAAAAGATTACGAAGGGAATTTTTTCTTTAGCAGTTTTTTCAAAGATAGAGTGAGTGGGGTGGAATGGGGATTTGGGGGAGTGTACGGACCGGTAGGAGAAGGGTCCAAGGTGTCTTTCTGGGAGGAACTGGCCAATGTTAAGGGGGAATTCCATGGGTTCTAGGGGGAGACTTTAACACTATTAGAATCCAGGAGGAGAGATTAGGGTGTAGTCTGATTTCGAGGGCCATGGAGGAGTTTTCTAACTTCATCAATGATCACTTTCTCATTAATCTTCCTCTGTCAGGGGAAAGGTTTACTTGGGCCAGGGCGGAGGATTCCAACTCAAGATCTAGACTTGATAGATTTCTGATATCGCCCTCTTGGGATGAGCTGGTGCCGAATGTGCTGCAAATTTCTTTACCTAGGCTGACTTTGGATCATTTGCCTATCTTGCTAGATGGACGCGGAGGGAGGGGGTGCGTGCTCATTTCTGATTCGAGAACATGTGGTTGAAAGTGTCAGGATTTGGTGACAAAGTGAAAGAATGGTGGACAAGCTACGGGTATCAGGGATACCTTCATTCCGTCTACCTTCATTCCGTCTTTCGAAGAAACTTAAATTGCTCAAGGGAGATATTATTAGGTGGAATAAGGAGGTTTTTGGGAGGGTAAAGGTTAAAATGAGGGAGCTTATGCATGAATTTGGGGAATTAGAGAGAAGGGAAGGGGCGAGGGAGCTAGATGAATCTAAGAAAGCGAGACTAGGGAAGATTAAGAGGGAAATAGTCGAGTTAGCAATAGCTCAGGAGACTAGTTGGCAGCAAAAATCGAGGGCGCTCTGGTTAAAGGAGGGGGGTGCGAATACCAAGTTTTTCCACAGGGTTGCGGTTGCAAATCGAAGGAGAAACTTCATAGAGTCCTTNAAAAGAAGATGCATCTTGTATCAGAAACTACAGGCCTATTAGTCTCGCGGGAAGCATTTACAAGATTTTTTCTAAAGTGCTATCCAATAAACTCAAGAAGGTTCTTGACGAGTTTATTTCGTCCTCCCAGAATGCGTTTGTGGAAGGTAGGCAGATCCTGGACGCTGCTTTGGTGGCAAATGAACTTGTAGACTCCAGAAGGAAAAATAGAGAACCCGGCTTACTATGCAAGTTGGACCTTAAGAAGGCTTTCGACCATGTCAATTGGGAGTTCCTGGATTTCATTATGATGCGGATGGGGTTTGGGGTAAGATGGAGGGGATAGATCAAGTTATGCATTTCCTCAATCAGATTCTCTGTCCTAGTTAATGGTAGCCCGTGTGGTTTCTTTGGCAGCTCCAGGGGTCTCAGGCAAGGTTGACCCCCTATCCCCATGCTATTAATTCTAGTGATGGATGCTCTGAGTAAAATGATGGATCGTGCTGCGGGCGGAGGCTTCTTGAGAGGATTCTCAGCTTCGATCGGGGTGCTCAGTGCCCGAAGAGTCTCACATTTGCTTTTTGCCGATGACACCCTGGTTTTCTATGATGCAGATATGGATCAGTTGACCTACCTGAAGCAGGTCCTGCAGTGGTTTCAGATAGTATCAGGATTCAAAATCAACCTCAGCAAGTGTGAGATTTTTCCGGTGGGTGAGGTTGCTAACATCGATGCTTTGTCTTATGTTCTCAGATGTAAGGTGGGCTCTCTTCCCACTACTTACCTGGGTCTCCCATTGGGCGCTTCGCATAAGGATACTACGGTTTGGAATCCAGTGATCAAAAGGGTTGAAAAAAGATTAGCAGACTGGCAGAAACGGTACTTGTCAAAAGGCGGTAAGGAAATGCTTATTAAAAGTACTTTATCGAGTATGCCCACTTATTACTTGTCCCTGTTGCAAGCTCATGTGAGCATCACAAAAAAACTGGAGTGGCTTCAAAGGAATTTTCTTTGGGATGCGACGGATGGAACTAGAAAGTTTCATTTAGTGAATTGGCACAGTCACTTTTCCAAAAAAGTGGGGTGGACTTGGAGTAAAAGATTTTAGGGTATTCAACAAAGCTTTGTTGGGGAAGTGGCTGTGGAGATTCGGGGTAGAAGAGCATTCTCTATGGATGGAGGTCATAGTAGAAAAGTACGATTTCACGGGAGGGGATTGGAGGACCAAGGCAATCACAACACCTTTCGGGTGTGGCATGTGGAGGAGCATCATGAAGAATTGGGAAGCCTTCAATGGCAACATCACTTACAGGGTGGGAAATGGAAGGAGGATAAACTTTTGGAATCATAGGTGGTGTGGAGAGGATACTCTAAGGGTCTCTTTCCCCCACGTCTTCAGAGTTTTAAACCAGAAGGAATTGATGGTTCAACAGATCCGCAAGGAGCATGAAGGGGGTAGTATGGAACCTCCCATTTAAAAGGAACATGCAAGATTAGAAGATTGCGGAGCTCCAAGATTTGTTGGCACTGCTATATGGGTAAGACAGGCCCCAATTATCTTGTGATTCTTCGAGATGGAGGTTGCGTGGCGATAGTTTATTCACAGTAAAGTCCTTTTACCAGAGTATGT